TTTGGTTTTTCTCCGGTACCGGGAACCGAACTCACGACCTTGCGCTTGCCAGGCAGGCGCTTTTGCCGCTGAGCTAAATCCCCAGCCCCCGACATGTCAGTTTTTGTACAATGAGAGACTCTCAAATCATAATACATAGAACAATAGTTATACATTTATAAAACCAATTTTAACATAATTTTGATCAGCTGGCAATGTGGTAGAAGCAAAGTCAAATTAGACATTACACATAAGTCAAATTAGATTACAATTACCTCAAAAATAAAAAAAAAATATAAAAAGAGAAATTTGTTGAGCTCAAGTAAAACAGCTGTTTACAGATCTGACAGAGAGACAAACAAACAAAACACATATACAAGACAATTTACTTATAAACTTAGAGTGCACTCAAATATAGTTTTGGCCATACTGAATTATAAGTTTGTAATTATAAGTAGTCAGAACTTTACTTTTCTATTCTGTCTTCAGAATACCAGCAACTTTTATGTCCCTTAACAGCTTTCAGCTTAGTCACATGCAGATATACACTGTCACTTACTCAGACCTTTTTTCAAGTGTTCTTGCTTAAACTTCTATTTTTTGTCCTCTCTGTCATGAATTTCTGCAATCTCTATCAGCTGGGACAAGTTTAGCTCTGTAATACCTTTTAATTTTTGCAGCTTGTGACACTTTTGCCACCTTGTGGGTCAGTGGGATGATGAGCTACAGAAAGAAGCCCCTTTTTTGAAGCCTGATGATTTTTCCTGCATTTAATTTTTTTTTTTTTCAGTTACCTTTAAGAAATCCTTCTTTTTTTGAGAAATCAAAGTTAACATCTGTTGACAATCACCCCAGGTGGGGCAGTGAATCTCAAACATCACTTTTAGCAAACTGATAGAAGCCCGAGTTTACTCTAAAAGGAGGGGGTTTGAAGTTCTCCAGTTGCAGAAGAGGATTTCCTCCCAACTTCATCACAGGAGCCTGCCAGAGAGGCAAGGCTGGGATGAAACCTGAGGAGGAGACTCCTTCATCTGAGTCTGCTATAGGCTGGGGGAAAGGCTGCCTGTAGGGGCAGTCCCCATAACAGAAATAGTTTGAGACAGTAGCAGTGACTCCGTGGGGGTCAGGATCTTTTTAAGCCTTCAAGTCAACAACTCCCGGGGTAGAAAAGGCGGGAGGAGGGCGATCAGGGCCCCTCCCACCCAAGCAGCAGATTCATCTGTAACCTGAGGACGCGGGCACACCAAGGTAGGCAAGCACATAGAACAAACGTTTCAAACAGACAAACAGACAGGACAAAATCCTGGGAAAGATAATTTAGTTTTCCTCCGACTCGTTCTGCCAATTCACATTGGAGACTGGCTTGAAATGCAACAAACAAAAAGCCAAATTTTTTCTCAGCATTTGCGAGAAAGACTAACACGCCCCTCGCTCAGCTCCCGCTGGGAGGGTGAAGGGTGTACTGCGCCTACAGCACGCGGCTTCATGCCCCTCTCCCGGCTCCCAGAGAGGGCAGAAACCAAAACTGCCACCCAGGTCTGGGGGCCTAACAAACTGAAGAGCTAGCAACAAGAGCTCTCTCCCAAGCAAGCCCAGCCTCCGGAAAGATTGGAAGCCAATTAAGATCTTACCCAGTTGGAGGTTTAGAACTCTGTCTGTCCTTCCTGGCCCAGGCCTCCAGGTCTTAGCCTCCCCCTGATGGCGGGGCGCCCAGCCATTCAGGAAATGGCTAGGGGTTCTGGAGGCTGGGGCCCCCTCAAAAGAGGATCTGCCTGCAGAATATCCCGGGAAGCCCCCAAATGTCAGAAAAGTGATTCAGAACACATTGAAGCGGCGTAAGCGACACTGTAGCAGACTGACCCATTGGGACAAACAGAACAAAAACAGACAAGGGCAGGAGGAACCGAAACCAAAACCAAAGTCTCTCCAGCACTTACAGGCACAACTGCCGTCCAGGAGATCCAAACGGGGGCGGGGGCACAAATAAACAAACTCTTACCGGTAAGAAGACAAACGGCTCCGGGTCAAATAGAAAGAATTTAGTCTTTACCCTAGGCAGGGAAGTCTGTCGGGGTCGAGGCACATCTTCTCGAGAAGCCCCCTGACAGGTGGCTGCTGGGGGTAAAGTGATCCGGCTCAGTAGCGCCCCCTGTAGGGCATTTCGGTGGGACCTCTAAATGTTCTGGACTCATAACTGAACCAAGGTACCAACCGACAAACACCAAAACGTACGGATCGCCAGTTGAGATTTTAGAATGCGCCTTTATTAGCTGGCCAACGACTGACCGAGAGCCTCCACGCAGGGTAGGATCAGATCAGCAGCAAACCAGGTGTGAGAGCAGCTTTTAAGCCAAAAAACCACATCCTGCTTGGCAAGCGAAGTCTTTGTGAAGCAGTCTTCTGAGAAACTATAGAAACTCTAGGAAACTTACAAGAAAGGAATGATACATTTCAGGGAGTTTCAGGGAGTGGCTAGAATGCGGAATGACGCAGGTGGAAAGGACAAGGCGGGGGTAATCAGTAATTTTTCGTGTTCTTTGTGAGGCCATGCATGTCCCTTGTGAGGCCTTTACATTCCAAACTTTTTTTTTTTATTCTTCCAAACATTTAAAACTTTCCATGAAGTACTAAAATGTTGCCTCAGAATAAAAAAAGAGTTGTCTGAACTCATTGGAAGACCTCAAGGGCTGGGGATATGGCTCAGCCGCACAGCGCCTGCCTGGAAGACCTCATGACCCTAATTCTAAAAGTTAAAAAGAACATTACAATAAAGGAAAATTACAGGCCTACATCTCTCATAGACACAGTTGGAAAATCACTAAGTCAGTTAATGAATACTTTTGAGGGAAAGAAACCAGTTATTGAAGCAGTCCAGGATAGGAAGAGTTCAGTTTCAGCATTGATCCAAAGAGCCTGGAAACCGTCATGCCTATCCTCACAACAAGAAAGCTGGGGAAACTGCAAACCAGCAGCTTTGCTTAGATCCATCAGAGAACTGAGGCCAAAGGGCAAACTGTCACCCAGGAAATTTTAGAGAAAGGCAAATGCAGAGAACCACAGATTATCTGAATCAGGAGTTGCTGGAGCCAGCACTGGCACAAGTATTTAAATAGTAATTGATAAATTACGGAAGGCTGAGTCCGACTGGTTAAACATCTCCCCTACCCCTGGGTCCAGTTTCAAGGAGTCTCCTGCCAGGTGTGGTGGCGCACGCCTGTAATCCCAGCACTGGGGAGTCTGAGGCAGGAGGATCGTTGTGAGTTCGAGACCAGCCTGGGCTACAAAGTGAGCTCAAGGCCAGCCTGGACTGCATAGTGAGAACCTGCCTCAAAAAGACAAAAAAAAAAAAAAAAAAAAAGAAGGAGAAGTCTCCTACCCTTTTATGAGTTTTATTTTCAGAAACCCTACTAAGTTCCCACATCACAGGAAACAACAACAACAACAAAACCAAAAACTTGTGCTCCAGGTAGAAGGAGAGGGAAGAGAACCACTTTTAAATATACTGGCAGCATTCATCCTTCGGTATCAAACACCTGTCCTTAAGAGAAACCACTTGGCAGGGCTTTACCTGACAGAGAAAGGGTGATTAGACATTCTGAGTCCCTTATCATTTGCCTGTCTTGTATAACAGCAGGTAAAAACCCAATAAATACATCTGAAGGTCACAGCCCAGGGACTCAAACCCACTTTTTCTTTTTTTTTTTTTTAAATGAGAGCTTATAATTACAGAGTTCAAATTACAGATTTCTTTCTTTGCTTGCCAGACAGGCGCTTATGCCACAAAGTTATATCCCCAGCCCAAGATTACAGATTTCTTTCCCACTGCTCACATGTCAACAGGTCCCTGTATCTCTGAACTGTGGTTCTTTCTCCCCTTCTTCTATAAGGTCCCCAAATCCTGTTTGCTGTCTCCATAGCAACTCACAGGGCAATGTCCTGCTGATGTTTCAGCTACTGCCAAAGCATGGCATCTCCAAACTTGCAGATGATATGGGCAGTCAGGCAGCCACAGCAGGAAAGAGAAAAGCACGCTTCTAAGGAGAATAAATTTAGGGGCTGGGAATACAACAGCAAAAAAGGAACAGGGGGCGGGCGGGCAGGACTTTAGTCACTGTAGAACACTGTGGTCCAGACCTCGAGGCAAAGAATAATCGCTCTGCCCACTCACCAGGAAGCCTTCTCTACTGCATGTCAATAGAATAAAGCAGCGCCCTGGGGAGAATGGCTGAGACTGAAAAAGCAGAAGGAGAACACGGAAGAGCACTATCAGCAGGTGCAGGAAGGTTGCTACCCCTGGCGCTGAGGAAATAAAGTGAAGTTAAAATGATTTAAATTTATAATCTTAGAAGAGAAACACCCTGGAGATGTCTCAGTTTTTGTTACTGTTGTTTTGTAGTTCTGGGGATTGAATAATACAGGACCTTCACACTGAGCTATATCCCCAGCCCTTTTTTAAAAATAAATTTATTTATTTATTTATTGAGACAAGGTCTCACGATGTAGTCCAGGCTGACCTTGAGCTCATGGTGATCTTGCTGCCTCAGCCTCCCAAGTGCTGGGATTACAAGAGTGCCCAACCACACTGGCTTTCTTTCTTTCTTTTTTGGTACCAGGAATCGAACTCATGACCTCAGGCTTGCCAGGCAAGCACTTATGCTGCTGAGCTACATCCCTGGCCCTATTTTTTTTTTTATTTTGAGACAGTCTCGTAAATTTCTGAATTGCCCACCCTGGGCTTAAATTTGTGATCCTCCTGTCATAGCCTTTCAGAGCTGGGATTATAGATGTGTGCTCCCATACTTGACTATATTTTTGTTGCTTAAGCCACCAGTTTATGGTATTTTTTAGGGCAGCCTGAGCAAACTAATATATCTTTGTTCTATAAAAATATTTGTGCAGGGTATAGAGCTTTGCGGGTAAACATCATTGTATTTCCTTCTGGCATCTTGAATTCTTTGAGATGTCAACTGTTAATGAATTCATTCCTTTGGAAGAAACGTGACTCTTCCTTACCTGTTTTTAAAAAATCCTTAAAAAAATGAAATGTTTAGATTGTGACCTGTTTTCGTGGGATTCTTTGAGATTTTTGAACCTAAGAATAGGTGTCTAGGGGCTAGGGACATAGCTCAGTGATAGAGCGTATGTGCTTAGTGTGCACAAGGCTTGCATTTAATACCCAGCACCAGAGAGAGAGAAAGAGACAGAGAAAGACACAGAGAGAGAGACAGAGAGACAGAGAGAGTCAGAAAGACAAAGAAACAGAGACAGAAAATAGAATTGGTGTCTCTTATAAATTCTGAAATGTTCTCAGACATTATATCTTCACATGTGATCTTGTTACTGATACAGGAGAAAGAAACCCCCATCCTGCTAGATGTCTGAAACACTAAGTTCGTGTTCTCTAAAATCGAGGAATGAATTCTAGGAATACTGGAGGTTAAGAGTAGGAAGAATTTATTGAGAGAAAGCTCTGTCTAAGAGGGACAGAATGGGCCCCGAAAGTGGGCTGCCCACCAAGCCCACTTCTCAAGGGTGTTTATTGAGCAAAGCCATGAGGTGAAGTGGGCTTAAGGTGGGACAGAATCAATCAATAAGATTACAAGTATAGTCACTTAGGTAATATTGACCCAATGGCAAATCATAGGATGGGTGTGAGGTGGGACAAAACTATGGTCAACCAATAAGTATACAACAAGTATAGTTGCTGGGGTAGTATTGATTAAATGGGGATCAGAGGGGGAAACAAGTCACATACCAAGTGCACAGGGGAAGAACAGGGACTTTTCTGGAAGGGGTAGGTTAAGGAGGTTTGGTTCTCCACCCCAAGGTGTGATTGGTGCCTACTTAGAGTATCGATCACTGTTGTTCATCCTGGGGGACGTGTATGAGTGACTAGTCCTCCCACGCCAAGCCTGGATTTCAGTGAATCCCTCTCCAGCCACAGTTGTCTTCTGTATCAACCTCTTGAGGGCCCAGCCCTGTCTGACTGCCTACAATATTTCTACCTCACTTAGCTATCTGTAATATTACCACAGTGGCTCAGGTCCCTATATTCACTACACCCACTCCCCCACAAAAGAAAACCACCAAATTGTGGAAGGCATGGTGAAGAGGAATGTCTTGGTCACTTTTCTCTTGTTGCTGAGAAAAAAATACCTGATGCCCAAAATTAAGGAAAGAAAGATGTATTTATCTCACAGTTTGTGGAGGTTTCAGTCCATACTCAGCTGGCTCCAAGGCAGAGTGGCACATGGCAGAGGGCAACAGTTCATGGTGGCGAAGACAGCAAAACTAACGAGCAAAAAGGGAGGAGCGGGGCTGGGGATTTAGCTCAGTGGCAAAAGCGCCTGCCTGGCAAGCACAAGGTCGTGAGTTCGGTTCCCAGTACTGGAGAAAAACCAAAAAAAAAAAAAAAAAAAAGGGAGGAGCAAGGGAGAGCAAAGCTGTTTCCTTCCCTTATACTATATGCAAACTATCTACCTCAGGGCGGGTGTGGCACTCACACCCACAGTCCTAGCACTGGACCATGAATCAGTCAAAAGCCCATGACAGCATGAGGCTTTGGGGGGGACATCCAGACACAAACCAAAACAAGGAGAAAGGTTTTATTTGAAGCTAGCTTCAAGGAGATGGAGGTGTTTTAGGGTAGCTCCTTCTAAAAGCAGCTCATCAAGTAAATGTTACTGGCTTTTGGGTTGCTCACCTCCCCTAGAGTTAAATTCCAAGTTCTTCTCATCTGGAACAAAGAATTGAAGAAAATGAGCAAAAAGCAGTGGCAAAGTTTATTTGAAAAAGGAAAAGTAAAAGGTGAGGGAGAAATTGGCTCTCCAGAGCGATGTTGGGCTGAGTAAGAGAGGAAAAAGCGAGATAAAAGAGAGTACAGGGTGGGCTATTGTGAGGAAAGCCGTGATACCCAGTTCTTCTTGGCATCTTTGTCTTTTTATACTGTCCAAAACTCTTGAGAAAACCTGTGAGAACTTCTACATATGGGTCCTGAGACGCAATGCTGGGATCCCATGCCTTGGGTTGACATCAGATCTAGGCTATCCTGTCGGAACCTGCTTGAGTTCTACCAAGAAGTCCATAGGCAGAGCTTTGGAAACTCTTCCATACATGGGTCCTCGGATTTTGTAAGTAACAGGCCATGCCTACCTCTCCAGCCAGTTTTGCCGTGCCCTAATCTCCTATCTCAGAGGTATTATAGGCAGCTAAATTAGATAGAGATTAATATACAGTCAGAGAGGGACTGGGCTCTCAAGGAAGTCAGTGAAGAGTAAAGACATCAGAATTGTGACTGGAGACACATCTGAAGAAGGCAAGGCCTCCAGATAAAGTCACAATGACCTGACTTACATACTTCCCTAAGGGATAAGCAGAACTGTAATTAGTACCACCCAATCCATTAAATCCAGATATGCATCAGACAGCTGGTTGGGTGACCAGAACACCTGGACCCATCCTTTCCCCCCAAATGTCCCTGTTTTAGGAGTCATAAATAAGCTAAGGTTAATGATGTCAGCCATATACCCTTGCCACATGCCCCACTTCCCTACTGGATCAGTATTAGCTAAGCCACTATACTTGTAATTCTATAAGTTGATTATAGTTTGACCACACTGTACCACCTGATGATTTTGCTGTATAAATTACCCCTGACAAAGGGCTTCAGTGGAAACCCACTCAGGACCCCTCCTGTCTTTCAGAAACTATTCCTATTCCCTTGTAAACCTTTCCTATTCTTAACCTCCTTTCTCCTTTGGAATTTATTCTTCAATTTCAGGGGACACGAACTCAGCACATCTGACATCTAGCAGATTGGGAGTCATATTTCTCCTATCAGATGGGGCCACATATTGCCGCAAATCACCATCTCACTGTGTCTAGGTGTGGAAGGGCCTTTCTGGTAATTGAACCCAGGGCCTTTGCACAGAGCTATGTCTTGAGCCTTTTTTGATTTTTCTTTTTGAGACAGAGCTCACTAACTTGCTAAGTTGTGTATGCTGGCTCAAACTTGAAATCCTTCTCAGCCTCCTAGAGGGCTGCAATTACATTCCTCCCAGGAATGTCCAGCTGCAAGGATCTGTAATAGTAAGGAATAGAAGGCAGAGGAAATAACATGAGACAATGGACAGCTCCAGTCTTGCTTCATCTCTCCTGTTCATTTTTTGCTCTCTCCTTTTTCTGTAGAAATAAAACTGGATTTTGACCTCCTAGAGACAGCATCTGAAGTGAAGAGGGAGTAGGGTCACACCCTTGGCCTGAGAAAGTTTGGAGAAGCCACTTGTCTCTAAAGAAAAACATTTTCTAACATCTAAAGTTTCATCTTGTCCTGTGTGTGCCTAGCCCCCCACCCACTGCCTCCATTCTTGGACTCCAGTCACACCTAACGTCTTTACACTTTCATTTGTTTTTCCCTCTGTTGGATGAAACTGAAGAATTTCCTCTTGCTTCCAATTCACTCTTCCTTTCTTCAACCATGGCCTGGTTTTTTAATGTTCACTTCATTTTTAATTATAGTTATTATATTTTTCATTGTAGGAATACTGTTTTTTGTTTTGTTTTGTTTTTTGTCTTTTTGAGATAGGGTCTCACTATGTAGTTCAGGATGGCCTTGAGCTCACTTTGTAGCCCAGGCTGGCCTCAAACTCATAACAATCCTCCTGCCTCAGCCTCCCGAGTGCTGGAATTACAGGCAGGAACAGTGCTTTGTTATTTTTTCTTTTTTTTTTGGTAGCACCGGGAATCGAACTCATGGCCTCTTGCTTGCAAGGCAGGCGCTGTGCCACTGAGCTATATCCCCAGCCCTATTTTGTTCTTTTTTTTTTGTTTTTTTTTTCTGGTACCAGGAATTGAACTCACGATGTTGCGCTTGCCAGGCAGATGCTGTGCCCTGAGCTAAATCCCCATCCCCCGTTATTTTGTTCTTTAAAAGATAACCTTCCACCAGGTTTGGAGTCACATGCCTGTAGTTCCAGTTATTCAGGAGACTAAAGCATGGTGATCACAAGTGTCATGCCCTTCTGGACAACTTAGTAAGACCCTGTCTCAAAATAAATAAATAAGTGAATAAATAAAAAGATAAAAATAAAAATGGCTGAGATGTAGCTCAGTGGTAGAGTGCTCACCTAGTATGTGTGAGGTTCTGCATTCAATTCTCAATAACACACAACTTTAGTTATTTTTAAATTAAGGCAGGTTAATCAAAGTTATTTCATATTTTTGAGGTTCTTTTTGAAATTACAGCTTAGTTGATCCAACAGCTCATGTTTTTGTAGGTTTGATGCTTCTGACTTTTCTTGTTTTGCTTTTCTCTTACTCTTGCTTCCTGATTTCTCACTGTGAGCAGCCCTTTTTCCTTATAATGTTATCTGTGGCAAATTCCTTGAGTCCAGAGAAAGATGTAAGATTCTCCATAAATCAAAGGTATTTGATGCTTTCAGGTGCCTCAGGGTTATATGAGGCTAAGGTCACTAAAAGTGAGTTGGAACTAGAGACTTTTTGCACTACCCATATAGGACCAGTTCAGGCTACAAACCAGCATGGAGACTGGCTTATGCCTATAAATTCTTGGTGGGCACCTCCCCTACCTCTTATAATACCGTATTTCCCCCAAAATATTTTTCTTTGTGCTCCCCTGGGTCTGGAAATTTATTTGTGTTTCACCATTAGACATAGAGAATACTCCTTTGGAGACCTCAGGTTATCTAGGCCTTTCCCATCAGACTTGTCAGTTTGGATAAACTCTTGGGCATTGTCCTCTTTCCTTTGCAAGTTTACAAAATAGACATTAAAGAGTTAAAAACAAACAAATGCATATGGTAAAGTTGCATAAATCTAAGTATATACAAATGAGTATCATAGGAGCTGGAGATGTAGCTCAGTGGTATGGCACTGGATTAGCATGCACAAGACCCTGGGCTGAATCCCCAGTACCACAGAAAACAAGCAAACAGTTGGATATGGTGGCACACATCTGTAATCCCAGCACTGTGGGAGGCTGAGGCAGGAGAATTGCAAGTTTGAGCCCAGCCTGAATAAATTAGAACCATAGCAAGACTATATCTCAATTAAAAAATCAGAAAGGACTGAGTGGAGGGAGTTCACGGCCGGGGATATAGCTCAGTGGAACAGCGCCTGCCTGGCAAGCATGAGGTCCTGAGTTTGATTCCTGGTACCAGAAAAAAAAAAAATACACACACACTACACACATACACACAAAACAAAAAGCAAATGAGTACAGTAAAACTGGGAAATCTGAGTAGGATCGGTGGATTGTAGCCATGGTTATGGTGCTGAACCATAATTTTACAAAATGTTGGATCAGGAGGAATTGAACAAAGGGCACAAGGATCTCTGTACTGTTCCTTATAACTGTATCATGTGCAATTTTAACCAACAAAAATTTCTCCAAAGAAGGGAATTTAAAAATATGTTCTCATTTTTGTAAATTACATGTTCATCTATGTAGTGCAAGAGAGATGCAGGAGAAGATGGCCACCAAAATGTTGAGAATTTACGCAGGTGGTAAACCTTGAGCCACCACTGCTCTCTGAATCACTGTTAATTCATTGTTCCATCTTTCCTGTGCATAGTTCCGGTGGCCAGGCCCCAGGTACCCCATGAGCACAGCCCCAGGGCCTCAGGAGCACTCAGGTGGGACAGATGAAGGAGAGGAGCAGGTCCACCTCATTGCGCACAATGAGCTTCACTGGGTGGATGTTGTCCGGCAGGGGCAGGCTGGAGGTCATTTCCCAGGCATCTACAAAGGCCACACGGACACCAGAAAAGGCAGCTCGAAGGAGCCGGTTCACCTGCAGGGTAAACCAGTCGCTGCCGTACACAGACTTGTAGCCAGTATTGGCCAATTTGATGACCACGAGAGTACTGGGTTCCCGGGCCAGCAGGGCCATCACAGCTGCCCGGATCCCTGCCAGGCGTCGCACAAAGATGGACGGAGGGAAGGTGGTGAAGTGGGCTCCCAAGCCCAGCACGACCACGGTGTGGGGCCCCCCGGCCAGGCCCGCCAGCTCCCTGACCACTGAGTGCAGGGAGGCCACTGGTGTGCGGAGAGAGCGCAGGGGCCAGCTGTGGGCCCGCCAGTGCAGCACTATGCCCCGAGTCGTGTCCACGGCCATCAGGGGCCCTGCCTGATACAGGGCATGTAGATCCACTGGCTTCAGGGCTGTTGAGAGGGAGACAGGTTTCATAAGTTAACACAGGGCTGTGTACCATCCTCTCACACAAATACAAGTTCCTGCTTCTGCCTGTTCTTTAGGATACGAGGATCATCTTCCTAAACCCTAATGCGTCTCCCCACAGATGTCACTATTATCCCCCCAAAGTCCTTTTCAGTTTGCTTTCTTTTTTCCTTTTTCTTTCCTGTGGTGCTGAGGTTCAAACCCAGGGCCTCAAACGTATTAGGCAAGTGCTCTACCACTGAGCTATCCACAGCCCCTTTTAGCTTTTAAACCTATGTAGCATTTGACTTTTTGACGCTGATTGTTCTCTTCTTCTTCTTCTTCTTCTTCTTTTTTTTTTTTTTTTTTTTTTGGTTTTTTTGAGACAAGGTCTCACTATGCAGTTCAAGCTGGCCTTGAGCTCACTTTGTAGCCCAGGCTGGCCTCGAATTCACAACAATCCTCCTGCCTCAGCCTCCCAAGTGCTGGGATTACAGGCGTGCGCCACCATGCCCGGCTGATTGTTCTCTTCTGAAAACTGTTTTCCTTCTACATTGTCCCAGTTTTTTTCTATCGTTCCTTTTATTCTTGGCTTAATAATTTGCTTCATGTTTTCCTTGGACTTTGTAAATGGAAGCATTCTGTAAAATTCTGTCCCTATTGTCTGCTTTTCCTTATGACCCACCTTGTGGGGAATTCATTCACTTCTACGAACGGTTTCTGTCTAAGAGCTGTTAGTTTCCTGAGCTGTGACTCCATGCTTCTAGTACTCAATTAATATTTCTAGTATTTCACTATTACCTCAAATACAATATGGGTAAAATGAAGCTATAATCGCTACACAAACCTTGCAATTTTCTGAACTTCCCTCATCGTCCCATACCAGCTAGCTCTCATTTGAGTGACTTCCCAGTGTTTCATCCTTTGCTTTCTTTTTTTTTTTTTTTTCAGCTTTCCCTGGAGAAGCCCTTTGTCAAATCTGCTGTCTCTCTCTCTCTCTCTATTCTCTCATTCATCAAGTCCTGTTCGTTCTTTATTTTTAAGAGTCTCAATGTTCAATTCTTATGCCCAACTTTTAGTTTAGGTTTTCAGTTACTCTCACATTTATCTAGCAGTATTCCACAGCAACAGGTTGAGATGTCATCTAGCTCACCAGCATTGTTTTGGATACTTGTGTAGATAATGGTTAAAAAAGACACTGAAGTCCCTTCCCTTGCACTTAAAGTCTCTTGGGAGAGAGAGGTGTTCCCTGGCACAGCTAGAAAGTTGGGAGTACGAGAGACTGAAAGATTGTTAATGTTCCTAGAACATGATAAGTGATATGAGATGGAATGCAGGCAGAGTCAGATCATGCAGTACCATATAGATTCTGTTTGTGGTTTTGGTGTTTGTCCCAAGGAAAAGCAGAGTCCACTGAAGTAAGTAACATGATTTCTGGAAGTCCTAACCAGAAAAGTAGGCAAGAAGTCCTAGCTAGAGCAGTTAAGCAAGGAAAAATATGGTGGTAGGTGCCTGTAATCTTGGCACCTGAGAGGCTGAGGCAGGAAGATCTCAAGTTCGAGCCCAACTTGGGTAACTTAGTGATTTAGGGAGATTCTGTCTCAAAGTAAAAAGTTACACAAACGGTAAGGGATGTAGCTCAGTTGGAAGGCCTTGGGTTCAATCCTCAGTACCTTAATCAAACAATCAATCCATTAATAGGTGGTATCCAAATTGGAAGGACAAAAATTTACAACATGGACAAAATACTGAGCCCAAAAGTTAATATCATAAAATTACAAAAGATTTAAGTTATATATATTCTCTAGTCACAATACAAATATATTAGAAGTCCATAACAAGATATTCTTGATAGACATACCTTGTTCATAGATATCTCAGTTAGAACCAAAATAACTATAAATTTCATATAATCAGTTAACATCCCAACAGGAATTTTTTCCCTGAAATTTTAGTTTGTTGAATAAAATATATGTAAGCGTTAAAAGCCAAAAACCAAAATCTGCTGAGACTGTTTTAAAGAATACTAAAAGTATAGTCTTGTCCACCAGAAATCCATAATTATTACAAAACTATAAGAATAAGACTGGGTGGTGTAGGCCCTGCATAAACAAATAGATTCACTAAACAGAATAGACAACACCCAAACAAACAAACTTGTGGAAGTCTGATTGATGATTTATTCTCTGCAGAACTATGAGGACAGGAAGGATTACTCAATCAATGGTGCCAAGCAGTCAGTATCCAAAATTTATTTATTTGTTTTTATTTTTTGTCGTTTTGAGACAGGGTCTTGCTATGCAGTTCAGGCTGGCCTTGAGCTCACTTTGTAGCCCAGGCTGGTCTCAAACTCCAAACAATCCTCCTTCCTCAGCTTCCCGAGTGTTGGGATTACAGGCATGTGCCACCGCGCCCAGCCAAAATTTAAATAAAAGGCATTCTATCATAGGTAACAAGAGAAATTTGGATTAAAACATATTGAACCACTACTATATATACCCAGATTTTTTGCCCAAATTGAAAAATGGTAATATCAAATGCTGGCAGACAGCCTTCTGGCTGGCTAGCTTCCTGCCTGCTGGCTCCCAGAGGGTGGGCCCCCAGCGCACGGGGAGCCTCGGGCGGGGAGCGCCGGTTTTTTGGGGCTTTGGACCGGCGACTCACTCCCGGCCTCGTGGTTTCCTGGAAGGAGGGCTTCCGGCACACAGGGAGCTGCGGGTGGGGAGCGCCAG